TACAGTATTCACATCTAAACATCCTTAAGTCAAGAGACATTTACAAAGATGCAAAATGAAGTTTTCCGAGAAACAAAACAAACAAAAAAATGCTCAACAAATATCTGTCAATGAGAAATGACCACTTGTTTTCCCCGTTTGTTCTTGTTTTAATCACTAACTTTTCTCAGAAAACGAGGCTTGTGTTATTTTGCTTCTCAATTAAACGTATCTTGATTTAAGAGTCTATGGACAGTGTGATCAGAAGTACAGTAAAAGATATTTCCATATTCAAATGCTTGAATCAGAGCTAGTCGAGTCTTAAGCTTTGTTTTGTAAAATGTCTGTTGGAAGATGCATTTTAAAACTTGTGTTATTAATGCAAGACTTTAAATTTAGAGAAGGCATTTGTATTGATTTGATCCTTTGCTTGGTCTTGCAGAAAGCCTGTCTCCTGAGGTATTTAAGAGTCTGCTGGCCTGGCCTTGAGTTAGATGTCTTGTTGCACGAGTGAGTGAGTGTGTTTTGCTGTGTTCGCAGGCGACTCTTGTTCCACGTGCCCCTGCTGTTTACTGTAGTATGTGAAGTCTCCGCACGCTCATTGCTTTGTTACTGCTGGAGTTCGTCTTCCTGCAGCATGAGTGGCATCGGGCGCTCGGGGAAGCCCTCGCTCTGGCCCTCCTTCAGCAGCTTCAGGCCGCGGTCGGAGCGAGTGCTGCTGGCCCGCAGCGAGAGCACGCCGGGGGAGCCGGTGCTGAAGATCACCATCACCGAGACCACGGTGATCGAGGCCGACGCCGGCGTCTGGAGCTCCAGGGCTCTGACCTACCTGGTGCTCTGGTACTTCTTCAGCTTCTGCACGCTCTTCCTCAACAAGTACATACTGTCTCTGCTGGAGGGAGAGCCCAGCATGCTGGGTGCGTTTCCACGTCTTACGCAACAATCGATGTTTGGTAACACTGATTCTCAAACAAGATTAGTGCAATAAACCACAGTCTTTGCAAACAAAGTCGTGCAAGTGCATTCGGCTTCTGCGTGAGATGTGACATAATATATTTTAGTGAGATTAACCCGTTTATTAGCCTGTGCCTGAAAACACTTTGTGCTTTAAAGGAATAGTTCACCCAAAAATGACAATCTGCTGAAATGTGCTCACCCTCAGATCATCTAAGATCAGGATGAGTTTGTCTCTTCATCAGGTTTGTAGAAATGCAGCATTGCATCAGTGTCTCAGCAATGGATGCTCTGCAGTGAATGGGTGCCGTCAGAATGAGAGTCCAAACAGCTGATAAAAACATCACAATAATCCACAAGTAATCCACAGCACTCCAGTCCATCAGTTAACATCTGGAGAAGACCGAAGCTGAAACAAATCCAGCATTAAGACTACATTTCTACAAACCTGATGAAGAAACAAACTCATCCTGATCTTAGATGATCTGAGGGTGAGCACATTTCAGCAGATTGTCATTTTGGGTGAACTATTCCTTTAAATGTACATTTTTGTTTGCAAATATTCTTTCAGGAGCTGTTCAGATGCTCTCCACGACTGTCATCGGCTGTGTTAAGACGTTCGTGCCTTGTCCCCTGCATCATCATAAATCCCGCACCGAATACCCCCCTAACTTCCTCATGATCATGCTGTTTGTGGGACTGATGAGGTGTGTTTGCGCTCACAATCCTTCATTTGTTATTCCTGTGTAATATAGTTTGATACGAGACGCACACAACTTTATTGATGCAGTTTAGTGGGATAGAAGTGATGTGATGTTGCATGTTTGCTTTAATAACATGAAAATGTTTAATTGTATTAAAAAAACACGTGTAGGGAACATTTCACCTCAAAAGCAGCAGAAAGAGATTGGTTTTATTCTGTGAGGAAAAGGAGGCCTGTTGTTAGGACATCAATGTTTTATTTGCATTGCAACATTATTTCCATTCCCCTCTTCTTTCTGCAAAAATACAAAAGTCTTAGTCTCCTTTACGGTAATACAGTAATGGAAATCACGCTTTTAGGACTCGATACTTTTTTACTAGCGTAATCAGCATATATGTGTCCCTGGAGCACAAAAGCAGTGTTAAGTCGCTGGGGTATATTTGTAGCAATAGCCAACAATACATTGTATGGGTCAAAATTATAGATTTTTCTTTTATGCCAAAAATCATTAGGATATTAAGTAAAGATCATGTTCCATGAAGATATTTTGTAAATTTCCTACCGTAAATATATCAAAACTTAATTTTTGGTTATTAATATGCATTGCTAAGAACTTCATTTGAACAACTTTAAAGATGATTTTCTCAATATTTAGATTTTTTAGCACCCTCAGATTCCAGATTTTCAAATAGTTGTATCTCAGCCAAATATTGTCCTATCCTAACAAACCATACATCAATGGAAAGCTTATTTATTCAGCTTTCAGAGGATGTGTTGGAAAAATTGACACTGAGACTGGTTTTGTGCTCCAGGGTCACATATCATATTGAGGGTGAATGTGCTTCTTGTTTCTGGAGTGAAATGTGAGATTCACACAAGAGTGGTGAAGTTAGGGAAAAACACCTGATTGTTCTTCAGACCTGCTGTCACTTGATAAAGAAGACTCTGGAACGTGTTTTACTGGCACGGCGAGCTTATTTGTCTTCTTCTGTGTGTGCTGTCAGGTTCACGACGGTGGTGCTGGGTTTGGTTAGTCTGAAGAATGTGGCCGTGTCATTCGCTGAGACGGTGAAGAGCTCGGCGCCCATCTTCACTGTTATAATGTCCCGCCTCATACTGGGAGAATACACAGGTGCCGCGCTCCTCACACCACACTCTGTCAGGGATGAGCTCAAACACATGCGACCGAATGATCAGGCTTAAAACTAATGACGGAGCGGCTGGAAAACATTACCACTGCAAGAGAGTCATACACTTCCAGTCAAAAGTTTAACCCCTTAGCATTCCTGTAAACTTGTATTTATTTATTTATTTTTTCAGGATTCACAGATGAATAGAAAGTTGAAAAGAACAGCATTTATTTGAAATAGAAATCTTTTGTAATATTATCTTTACTGTCGCTTTTGTGACTGCTTCCACAAAAATATTGTGCAGCACGACTGTTTTCAACATTGATAATAATCAGAAATGTTTCTTGAGCAGCAAATCAGCATATTAGAATGATTTCTGAAGATCATGTGACACTGAAGACTGCAGTAATGATGCTGAAAATACAGCTGCGCATCACAGAAATACATTACAGTTTAACAGATATTCACAAAGAAAACAGCTATTTTAAATTGTAATAATATTTCACAATTTTTACTACATTTTTAATCAAACAAATGCAGCCTTGCTGAGCAGAAACAGTATCTTTCATTCAATAACTCTTAAAAAATGGTAGGTTTTGCAAACCTTCTAGAGAGCAGAATATCATAGACACTTGTTAGGGTTGTGTTCTTTTGGCTCCTGCCAGTAAATAACCGCCTAGCAACCAGGGCTGTGCGATATGGCCAAACAATCATATCTCAGTATTTGTTAAGCTTTCTATCTGGATAAAAAAAAAAAATCACATCCTGACCAATGTTGGGGTTTTAAAACAAATAAAGTGAAGGTAACCACGTAGGCTGTGCTATATATTATGTGCAAAAAAAGGGTTAAAATCACATTATAGCATTGTAACATTACAATCTAAAAACAAAAATAATGCTTTTTAAAGCAGAAGTTAAATTAACTAAACTAAAAATGAAAAAATAAATAAAAACAAAAGCACAGACTGTTTTGATTACAGTCACTTTATAGTTAGTGCGGTCAGAAAAATACACAAACCTGTAGGTTTAAACTTCAACATATGGCACATTCATTGTCCAACAACAAATATTTTATGTAAATATTAAAATGTATATTTTAGTCAGAATTAAACTTTCCCGTAAGAGCGGCGTGGGCATTTGTAAATGTAATGTGCGAGGCTTCCGGTGTCATTCGCTTCCAGCTCTTTTTAGCTGTACAAAACCGCTCCCTTTGCTGCTTGATATTGCAAACTTTTTAGTTTTTTTTTTTTTCATGTATTATCTTAGTTATGAACACACTGGTTTGTAGTGCAGACAGTTTTACCGTTTACTGCACTTTGAACTTCTTCTCGTTATTTCCTACAGCGGCTAATAAACCGGAAGTCTCGCACACTCACAGAAAGCGGCTTACTTCCGCGATTGAAAAATAAGGTGGATACGTGTTAACTATGTCTCACGAGTGACTTTAAAGCCCTTAATGTAAGCATGTCTCATGTTTAGGACAAACTGGATTACGCACTCTCCCCGCAGCAGCTCAGTCTGTGTTCAGAACGATATAGTGGTGTAGTATTACGTGTGTGTGTGTTGCAGGGTTCTGGGTGAATCTGTCTCTGGTTCCTGTGATGGCGGGTCTGGCTCTCTGCACTGCCACCGAGGTCAGCTTCAACATGCTGGGCTTCTCCGCCGCTCTCTCCACCAACATCATGGACTGGTGCTGCTCTCATACATCTCCATCACACACACACTTCACCCTGAGCTCCAGTCTAATGCACAGTTTTTCTGTCTTAGTTTACAGAATGTGTTTTCCAAGAAACTGTTGAGTGGGGACAAGTACAAGTTAAGGTGAGAGCCGCTGATCTGTGCACACATGCAGCATTCGGACTTCTACACTGCAGGGTCATTGAGACATAAGGGTGATAATCACACTGGAAACATAATGCCAGTATTCTTCATTTTTAACTCTGGCCTTCAGGAACTGAGCTCCGCACTCAAGTGAACATAAGCGAGTGTTTTTGTTTTGTAAGGAGTTATAAAGCAGGCATGACTGTCACAGTGTCTGTGTTTTTTCCTCCTGTCTAGTCCTCCAGAGCTTCAGTTTTACACCAGCGCTGCTGCTGTCATCATGCTCATACCTGCCTGGATCTTCCTGATGGTCAGTCTGTGAAAAAACACACTCTCACCAACCTCAGTTAATGCTTTCGTAAAACAGCGACTACATCTTAAATATATTAAGAACAACCATTAACGGGATAGTTCACCCAAAAATGAAAATTAGCCCATAATTTACTCACCCTCAAGGCATCTTAGGAGTGTATGACTTTCTTCTTTCAGATGAATCCAATCGGAGTTTATTAAAAAATGTCTTGGCTCTTCCAAGCTTTATAATGGGAGTGGGCAGGTGTTATTTTTCAATAGTCCAAAAGAAGTCCAATAAAGCGCATCTATCCATCATAAAAAGTGCCTCACACGGCTCCGGGGGTGAATAAAGGCCACCTGAAGCAAATCAATGCGTTTGTGTAAGAAAAATACCCATATTCAACTCTCTACGCACACCTTGGCAATAGAATCGCCATTGGCTAGTACATTTTTTAGTTTACTTGCCAGACTGATATACTATTTTTATATATACAAAAAACACAGCTTTTTAAATATCTGAAAGTACACTCTTCACATCAGTCAGTCAGGCATTATAATGTGATATTATGATAATCAAGCATTATTTAATGATAGAACTTTAGTGATTAGAACAAGAACTTGGTAACCATGTATGAAAGCATATTTGTCATTTTAACTGAACCTGGGACTGGTGGTGATGCTTAAAGTACACATGAAATCAAAATTGACTATTTATTTTGTTAGCGCACACTGCTATTTTTGTGGCGAAAAATTCATCCGTGCAAGTCAATCCACAAAAAAAAAAAATGGTTTGCCTGTAATCTTTCATCCAAATCTGAAAATGCACCTCGCCTCTGAAATGACGGACCTTCTCTGATGACGGCTTGGGCTTGAGCATAACATCCTTAGACACGCCCCTCCAACTCTCAGTGTTGTTCTGAATGAAACGCCTACTTTATCCAATCAGTTCGCAGTAGATAAAAACAAGCCACGCCCTCTGTTTTTCTCATTCAATATTCCGTTTCTCTCAGAAGTACGTCACAATACGGAAGTAAAGTCGGTCGCAACTTCCGGTTCACGCGGACTTTAAGATATTGTTGGTCATTTAGGGTCAGAGAAAAACTAACAATAATACTGATAAGATAATAATAATAATAATACGAATTCTACTACTAATAAATTATAAAACACACTAAGGATTAATGAGCTGCTGGGTTCATGAATATCAATCACGTTGTAACAGGAAAATACAACAAAGAATATTGTTTATTTGTAGCGCGTCAGTTCTGCATGGTGTGTGAGACTCTCGCACTCTCTCTCTTTGTGTGTGTGTGAGAAACAGCGCTATCAGCAGAGCAGCTAGTGTTTACAGTGCGTCAAATACAGGTGCGCTCCATTGAGATGAGCAGCACAGATCGCTTGACGGAGAGCGAAACTCTGAAGTGCTCAGTGTGGAAATATATCTGTGCTAAACTTACCCTCCAACTCACACACTGGCCAGTAAAATCTGAGAATGTATTAGTCAATGGCTAACGATAGACGTCATTTAGTCGCCCAGAGTAAGATTTAGTCGCATATGCCAGTGGTTCCAGCAGATTCCAGCACTTTTTATGATGGATAGGTGCACTTTATTTTGCTTGAAATACTCGACACCCATTCACTCCCATTATAAAGCTGGGAAGAGCCAGGACATTTTTTAACACAACTCCGATTGTATTCGTCTGCAAGAAGAAAGTCATACACACCTAGGATGCCTTGAGGGTGAGTGAATCATGGGCTAATTTTCATTTTTGGGTGAACTATCCCTTTAAGCAGTTTAAAGTAACCTTGTGCTGTTGATATCAGTTGAATGCAGTCGTAGCTCTGTGTGAAGCTGATGTTGTCTCTGTCCCACAGGACCTGCCGCTGATGGGGAAGGGTGATCGCTCCTTCAGACTGTCTCAGGACATCGTGCTGCTGCTGCTGTTTGACGGCGTGCTCTTCCACTTACAGAGCGTCACGGCGTACGCTCTCATGGGCCGCATCTCCCCCGTCACCTTCAGGTGCGAGCTTCGTCCAGTGCTGCGTTACCTAATCAGAGCTGCCAAAACATGCTGCCTCTTTAGAGCTGAAATATGACCGGGGCATATTCTTTGTAATGTGAACCCTTCTAGATGAATATCAGGGTTTCTGAGGGTCTTAAAAAGTCCTAACTCACCCTTACACAAATCAGGGGCTTTAGAAGTCTTAAATGGCATTAAATGTTGATATTTTTGTGTCGTTTTTCAGTACAAATATCTAAACATCTTTAAATCGAGATACGTTTACTTGAGATGCACAATGAAGGTACGAAGTCTTGTTTTCTAAGAAATGGAACAAAATGAAGTGAGTTTATGTTTAAAATAAGAACAAATATCTGTCCAAGGAGTGTGAAATCTTGTACCACTTTAGATTAGGGAACACTGTTCACTATTAACTAGTTGCCTATAAGCGTGCATATTACTAGCATACTGGCTTTTATTAGTACTTATAAAGCACATATTAATGCCTTATTCTGCATGAGCATATTTTAGATCCATACCTGAACTGAACAACTACCTTACTAACTATTAATAAGCAGTTTATTGAGGCAAAACTCTGTTAATAGTGAATGTGTTACCAAAACAGTTTCCCTTTGAATTCAGTAGATTTTTCTGAGCCCATTGTTCTAGTTTTAATCACAAACTCACTTTATTTTGATCAGTTCCTCATGAAACAAGACTTCTTATCTGATGTTACGAGTTGAGACTCTTTAGAAGGTTGCACTGGAACACAAGACGGAGTTCCTGAGAAAGAGCAGCACTTCTCTGCAGTGTGACCAGAAGTACAGTAAAAGAGATTTCTGTGTTCTAGTGGTTTGGAGCGGAGATGTTCGAGCCGTAAGCCATGTTTTGTAAAAAGTACTAAGAAGCAGTGTTGGGGGTAACGCATTACAAGTAACGTGAGCTACGTAATCAGATTACTTTTGTCAAGTAACTAGTAAAGTAACGTATTACTTTTTTAATTTACAAGAAAATATCTGAGTTACTTTTTCAAAAAAGTAATGCATGTTACTTTGTTTTCCCATTTATTGACTGACAGCTCTCCTGTCCCCATATTGGGAGAAATCAGAAGTACAGAGGCGTTGTGTGCGCTGTGTGAACATGATGTTACTGTAGTTCTAGACTAAATGTGAATGTGCATTAATTCATCCCACTCACAAAAAACAGATTTAGCATTCATCAAAATGAATTAAAACAGTGAAATGCAAACTCAGAATATGACGCAAACCTGCAATAATTAAATATGTTAAATAACACAAATGTATCTAATCCCATTTTATTAACCAATATCTTTGCTGCTGACCTTTGATGATCCAGTTCAACCATACTAATAAGCAAAAATGACTTTAGAGAAACTAACAATTGTGCTTTGTTTTTTTATTGCTGAAGAGTGTTTCTTCTGCGTTCTACTGTACAGACGTGAATTTACTTTTCCTTCAGCCTGAGGTTTATTCATTAATCTTTTTGGTGTGAAAGGGCTTTTACATTTGCTATAAATAGAACTTCTTATATTAAAAACAATCAAGCCCTGCTCATATTTAAAAAGTAACGCAAAAGTAACGTAACGCATCCATAAAAAGTAACTAAGTACCGTAATGAGTTACTTTTTTAGGGAGTAACGCAACATTGCATTACTTTTAAAAGTCCCCAGCACTGCTAAGAAGTGATGGAGATCGGTTGGAAGTGGTGTTTTCAGACTTCAACAGCTCGTTCTCAGCTCCTTATCTTTTCTTTGATGGGTCATAAATCCTGCAGAAAGCCTGAATGCGAGTGCGTAGTGCTGTGCTGATGGTGTTTGTGTCCTCCGGCAGTGTGGCGAGCACGGTGAAGCACGCTCTGTCCATCTGGCTGAGCATCATCGTGTTCAGTAACCCCATCACGCTGGTGTCTGCCGTCGGGACCCTCATGGTGTTCCTGGGAGTCCTGCTCTACAACAAGGCCAAGCAGATGCAGAGAGACGCTCTGGTCCAGCACGCTCTGGAGCAGTCCGCAGAGTCCCAGCAGAAACCCACGCCCCAAGACGGAGACGGCACGCCTGCCAAATAACCTGTGCTCCTCTAAACTGAGCGAGAGCTAGAGATGGATGTGCTCCGGGTGGAAAGGACAGCTTTCTGCTGACAGCTCGTTGGTTTGGGAGTCAGGACTCACAGGGAATCATGCCTTATGTAGCTCATGGGACCCTATCATTCTGAAACCTTTGTGCGTTTAGTGAAAACTGAAAGAGACTCTTAAGAAATATTTAGGCAGGTAAAGCCCAAACAGTTATCACAATATTCTGTGCTATTTGAGGGCTACATGTAGACAACAAAAATATAGTGTGAGTGAGTCTCACCAGCAAACATCCAGCTCATATTTTACCCCAAAATAATAGTAAAAAAATTTATTGTTTTTAGGACCATATAATTTGCATTATTGATTCATTGAAAACAAGTGTTTTTTAAAAACTAAACAAAAACTAGGCTTTACGCGAGAGCACATTTTGAGGTGAACGATGACATTTAATAAGCAGGTGTGTTTTATGAAGCTGATCTCTTGATGGAATGGCTCCTGTGAAAGAGAGCGTGTGTTTTCTGTGCTCGCGTCGTGTATCGCTGCAGAAACAGACGGGTTTGTTTCACACTTTTCGTTTTATTACTCCGCACCCTCTCACTTATTTGGGATCTGGAACGCAGGAGATGATTTTGTGATGTACTTTTGCTCGATTATGTCCAGATCACCACATGACTTGAAGGTCACCTGTGTATTTTCTCTTCACTAGATATCTTGAAGCGGTTTTCTATGTGCTCTCTCTATAGTTTGTTTGACTTCTCTCTCTGTGAATGTGGGTTAAATGATACGACAGAAACAGATTTGTCAAATACTTGATGAAACTGCCGGCAGAATGTCTTTGCAAGGTAATGTTTAGCAAGAATCTCCGTATCTGCTATGGTGGGTTGTGTTTGTGGTATATTAAATGATGTATGTCAGTACAATAACCACTTATGGGAATTGTCTGTATAATTTGGTCTTTATTTGTGCATTGGAAACATTTTGATTTATATGAATTTTGCATTTGTTTATTAAATGTGTACAGTGCGAGATGTGTGTTGAATGTGTGCTGTCGGGTTTGACTGTATTTGGCTGAGCAGTGGTTTGTGTGGCTCGCCAGCGGCTAGATCTCTCTCTCTCTCGCTGAAAACCTAACATAACCCTGGCTATGTTAACTGCTGAGGGCCATCTGGTCCAAAAGAACTCAAAGAAATTATATAAGACTTCAACTGTAAATTATAATAATAACAACAATAACGATTATTAAATATGACAGAGGAGCAGAAACAGGCTCAAAAACCTAAGACTGGTGAAAGAATGCAACAATTTATTGCATTAGTTTTCCTAACAATACAACAAAAGGCAAAAGCCAAGAAAAACTTCTGTAAACTATATATAGTACGTAAATTGGTGTGCATTTTCAGCTCTCTGATGGATGTTAGAGAGCGGCAGAGCAGCGAAAACCTCTTGACCCGGATGTGATTAGGCGGAAAGAGGAAGTCAGTAGGTCTTCCGGTGATGTGAAAACGCGCCGAGTACATCACGGGTGAGTAAAAGACTGATTGTCAGTAATAGTTTGAGTTTATAAGCGCGCTACAGAGGGGTTCAGCAGGTGTTTATGCGTGTTTTGGAGCTGAACGTCATGTGACCGTAAGCGTGATGACGCAGTGAAACACTCAAAACAAACACTGAACCTTTCTTCAGCGAGGATAAGATGGCGGGCTGAACGCATGTGTTTTTACCGAGCTGCCTAGCTAATCTCCCAATTTAGTCTTGAAACTACACAAGTCTCACTTACGCCTACCTAAAATAGCATTTAAACACCGTATGTGTGTTTTGTGTTCTCAAAATGCGGAAATCTTCACAGCAAACTAGCGTCCCGAAGATTATCATCCCCCCGGCCCGTGGCTCGACCCCAGCTTCGGTCTCAGACGACTCAGAAATGGAGGTACAGTCCGCTCAAACAGATAAACGCCGTGACTCGTCACATTTCACCCCTACTAAATCAAACGCCTTGAAAAAATTAAGGCCTCACGACGAGGATATCACTAATGCAACTCTTCTGCATGCCATAACTTCACTGACGGCTCGCTTTGACTCACAAGATGAAAAACTAGAAGAAATGGCGAACCAAATGCGAAGGAACAGTGTCATGATCGCAGAGATTTCCAAGGCTGTCGAAACAGACAGACACACACAGACACACACACACACACATACACAAACAGACAGACACACACAAACAGAATCACATTCATTATCACGGTAAGTTAACGTTATGCGTCCAAAAACACTAGTTTGTGTTTGTAAAGAGCTGATCCTGATCACTTCTGTGAAGCAGTGGGTGAGACTGGGCAGCAGCAGCAGTGTGACATGACTCTGTAAGAGTGTCTGCTCCTGTGTTTTGCAGTGGGAGGTGATTTGGAGCTGATGGGGGACGAAAAGGAAACCTGGAAAGTTAAGACATTAGACGAGATCTTACAAGAGAAGAAACGCAGACGAGAGCTGGAAGAGAAGAGTGACCCTAAACGCTCAAAGAACGTGAGTTCATGATCATCAGCTGGAGAAATATAAACCGTGGCGTTCATCTACATGCAGCAGGCTTGGTTTGATCCAGTAGCCCTCCTGTCCTGTTCAAACACTGGCTGCTACTTCTGTGTTTGGGCTCAGTTTGACCCATATATTTACTTCTTAATATTTTTTTTCATGAATGCTTGTAGTGAATATTTGCACACTGGGGCACAAACACATACAAATAATTATAAATAGCATCTAAATAACGTTAATTGCACTTAATTTAAGTAGTATTTATTGATATCGCATTGTCCAAAACACAACAGGACAATATAATCCGATTATGAGCATGCAAACAAAATATTTGAAGTTTATCGTGAAATATTTTATGAGAACAGCACGCCTTATTATGTTACATACATTATCCCTGACTGTTTCATCTAAATGTGTTATTGAGAGAGTAGTGAGACGGATTACATAATTCACAATGCTCCATGAGAGTGAATGATTGCTAATGTCCTAAATGCTCTTTTTCTCTGTCGAATGTTTTGTTTCTGGCAGACGGATGATCGGGAATCCAAACGGGACACTCCGGAGGAAGGAGAGCTACGAGACCACAGGATGGAAATAACAATAAGGAATTCACCCTACACACGGGAAGACTCGACTGAGGACAGGTTTGTGAGAGGTTTAGTGCTAGTGCGGTATGGGACTGTTAACAACGGCTCATGAATCTCATTGCTGTGTGAGAGGACGAGTTCTGTGTGTGTTTGATCGGCTCGTACTCAATGTGTTTCTGCAGAGGAGAGGAGGACGAGTCCCTGGCCATCAAACCCCCGCAGCAGATGACACGAAAAGACAAATCCTACCACAGAAAAGAGGAGAAGAGGAAGGACAAGAGGAGGCGCAGGAGCCTTTCTGCAGAAGGAGGTCTGCACCTTACCCAGACAAACCTGCCCACTAGATAACATTATGTTAGTGACAAAACTGCAGAATTTCGGCAGCAATGTAAAATACATCCCAGAAAATCAAACGTTTGCGAAAAAAATGGATGCCAATATCAATAAATCTAGTATTTTCAGCACTGGCTACTGACTGAATTTTATTTATTTATTTATTTATTTCATTTAAAGATTTTCATTCATGAACTGTTTATGAATTAAACTTTGGTTAATCTGCTTGACCCATAGAGCTTGGGTTTGTGTCAGACTACAAAAACCTGCAGCAGCCAAAAAATAAAATAAAATCACTAATCATGATCAAGAGCTATTCAAAATCTCAGGTGGAAAGAGACCTTCAGTTCATTTCACTTCAATTATCACTAGAAATGGCTCGGCTAATTCTTGTCTGTGTTGTGTTTATAGCAGGGAAACACATGCGCACAAAAGACAAAGAGAAGGAGCGAGAAGATGAGAGAAGGAAGAGACAGTGGCAGGAGGACAACAACTCACGACGAGATTACGAACGTCAGAAACGGAGAGATCAAGCACTCACTCACTCACTCACTCACTCACTCACTCACTCACTCACTCACTCACTCACTCACTCACTCACTCACTCACTCACACACTCACTCACTCACTCACTCACTCACTCACTCACACACACTCACACACAGACTCTCTCTCACACACACACACACACACTGCATTTATTTGATCAAACATAAAGTAAAAACACTGATACTGTGAAAAATCATTATTATTATTATCAGTGTTAAAAACAGTTTTTCCTGCTTTATATTTTTGCGAAAGCCATGCATTACCATTAAAAAGTTTGGGATAAATAAGGGAAACGTTAAATTAGTACCTTTATTCAGCCAGGATGAATTAAATTGATCAATAATGCCAGTAAAGATATTTATGATTTTAGAGAAGATTTATATTTTGAATAAATTCTGTTCTTATGAACTTTCTATTCATCTGTGAATCCTGAAAAATAAAATGTATCACGGTTTCCACAAAAATATTGGGCAGCACAACTGTTTTCAACATTGATAATAATCAGAAATGTTTCTTGAGCAGCAAATCAGCATATTAGAATGATTTCTGAAGATCATGTGACACTGAAGACTGGAGTAATGATGCTGAAAATACAGCTGCGCATCACAGAAATAAATTACAGTTTAACAGATATTCACATAGAACACAGTTATTTTAAATCATAATAATATTTCTCAATATTGCTATTTTTACTATATTTTTAATCAAATAAATGCAGCCTTGGTGAGCAGAAGAGACTTATCTTCTGCTAAAAAACACTTCCAAACTTTTGAATGGTTGTGTGTTTATTTATGGTATGCATAATTTCATATGATGCAAGGTGTGTTGGTTGTCGTCTGTTGAGGGAAGTTGTTGTCATCAACCTGTTAAGTGTCAGAAAGCTTGTTTAGCTGATTTGTCAGTGAGCGGCGCTGTGATGCGTCTGGTCTCATGCACATGTGACGCTCTCTGGTCTTTAGCCTGATGACTCCCGTGTGTGTCCATGTGAATCCGCAGGGATCGTCTGGAGCAGCAGGAGCGCCAGCGGGAAAGAGAGCGCAAACTCCGTGAGCAGCAGCAGAAAGAGCAGAGAGAGCAGCGCGAGCTGAAGGAGAGAGAGAGGAGAGCGGAGGAGCGCCGCAAAGAGAGAGACACCCGCAGGGACGGTGTGTCCACACACTCACACACTCACAGCAGCTGTATTAGGAACGCAAAACAGAAAGCCCCACTGTCATACTAAACTGTGCACTTCACTTAGATTTCCCAGCATGTGCTTGTGAACACAGGAGAAACACACTCACATTCAGTGGCAGCTGCTCTGAGAGTCACTTCACCAACTATCTTCAGACACAAACAAGATCTTAACTGCAACCCGCCAAAGTAAACGCTCAGTTTAACTTATAAAGGATATGTATTTGCCAAAAAATAAAAGGAATTAATTCTTGTTTAATTAAAATTGTTAATGCCTTCATTTGAGGACCACTGTTTTTGAATTAATTTTGTCATAAATCCATAAAAATTCAAACAGACAACACTATGTTTATGAAAAAATAAAACTTTTCATGGGGCCCTATTATTGTTAACATTTTAATAAATTATTAAATTGGGAAAAGTTTTATGAATTCCATTAGATATCATTTTTGACCTCGTTGATGAACATTTAATTAAACTTAAAAATGGAATCCAGAACAATTAAAATGAAAAACATGGAATTTGGGGAAACATTCATAGGACCCTAAATTGAACACAGGTTTCTTGTGTTTTTTCAGATGAGTTTCAGGATCCGCAGTGCGGTATATTCTCCTCTGTTTTCAGACTCATGTCAGATATAGCCACTGAATGCCATGTGTTTGCGTGTTGAAGTTGGTGGTTGTTGGGCAGAATTAGCTGCCGACCGGACCGGACATAAGGCTACAGTGGACTAACGGAAGGCTGACTGTGTTTCAGGGCCTGGGTCTCATCACAGAGGGGCTCCTGGAGAGGAGTACGCAGATAAGAGCCGCTCACGGCACCGCAGCCGCAGCCCGGTCCGTCAGCAGAGAGAGACCAAAGCAGAG